GGCAGCGTGGAGGACAGAGTGGCAGAGGGCGGCGTAAGGTCAGGTTTCCACGGCAACTGTCAACCTCCAATCCCCCTCCAGCTGAACACCCTCTTTCATCGCCATAGCAGCGGAGAGGCCCCTCGTTTCCCAGGGGACGGGGGCAGTGAGGGAGGGAATGTGAGACGGTCGAGAGGGAGAGAGAGGCCAAACAAGTTTTGTGAAAACACAGTAATTCAATATGGCCGCCATTGTGTCCGAGCTAACTGTGGCTAAAGCTCACTTCTCGAGGAGAGGAGATACAGTGTGATGATTAACCTCAGACCCGGAAGACTGAGTGAGATCAGGAGTCAACTAAAGCTGGGGTTAATGTGTGCAAGGCGTAGGGCGAGAGGTGTGTTGAGACATCAATTACATGCCTGGACTCGTGGTCATTTTAATCCTAAATGATATGAATGTTTGACTGACACGCCCTCCTGAAACCTGAAGCCATTTTTCTAAATTGGAAAATGTTAATACCTGAACTTCCTCATATTTTTTTTAATTCCTCACAGTTCGGAGCTTTGGGATTTTAGCAAACAAAAACCTATATAACCAACTCCAAATAAGGCAAAAATATGGCCTCTTTAAACCAGAGATGACACTCATTACTGATTTACGTTTTACTCTCTGTAGCAGGGTGAGAGGTATAATTGTTAAGCCATCAACCACATGCTTGGACTCTGGATTTTAAGGGTAATTTTACCTCACTTTAAGCTAAATGATATGCATGTTTGACTGACACGCCCTCCTGAAACTTGACACTAATCCTCATAATCTTTGAGGCATTATTTTTCTAAGCCATTTTTCTAAATTGGACAATTTTTATACCTGAACTTCCTCATGTTAATTCCTCTCAGTTTTGTTTTGTTGAGAACTCCTTCTGGAGGGAACTTTGGGATTTTAGCCTTTAAAGACCATTTACATGCACAAAAACCTATATATCCAACCCCAAAAAGCATTGTGGCCTCTTTAAACCAGAGATGACACTCACTGTATACTGATTTATGTTTTTACTCTCTGTACCAGGGTGAGAGGTGTGGTCGTTGAGCCATCAACCACATGCTTGGACTCTGTATTTTAAGGGTCATTCTACCTCACTTTGACACTTAACAAATTAAATCTATTATTATTATTATTATTATCCTGATCATCTTTGAGGGATTATTTTCCTAAGCCATTTTTCTAAATTAGACAATTTTCATACCTGAACTTCTTCATATTTTTGTCGATTCTTCTCAGTTTTATTTTGTTGGGAACTCCCTTTGGAGGAGATGTGGGGATTTTAGCCTTTTTAAAACCATTTACATGCACAAAACCCTTTTTAACCAACCCCAAAAAGCATAGTATGACCTCTTTAAACCAGAGATGACACTCACTGTATACTGATTTATGTTTTTACTCTCTGTATCAGAGTGACAGGTGTGATCGTTGAGCCAACAACCACATGCCTGGACTGATTTTTAAGGGTAATTCTACCTCACTTGAAGCTCAATGATATGCATGTTTGACTGACACACCCTTCTGAAACCTGACACTTATCCTGATCATCTTTGTGGGAATGGTTTTTCTACGCCATTTTTCTAAATTGGGCAATTTTCATACCTGAACTTCCTCATGTTTATGTGATTCCTGCACCGTGTGCCAGGGTGAGAGGCGTAGTTGTTAACCCATCAAACACATACCTGGACTCTTGAGTTTAAGGTTCATTTGAGCCCACTTTAAGCTAAATTATATGCATGTTTGACTGACACGCCCTCCTGAAACCTGGCACTTATCCTGATAATCTTTTAGGGACTTTTTTCTTTGTAGATTTCCTAAGTTGGACAATTTTCATACCTGTACTGAGGTGATTCCTTTACAGTTTTGTTTTTCACAGTTTGGAGCCTAGACATTTTAGTTGTGTTTGGAAACATGGGGCATAAGTTTAAGATTTTAAATAAAACAATCAAATCAAGATTTAAAGTGTTAAATGGGACCTATCATGCAAAATGCATAAATATGTGTCGCCGGTGTGTCAGGGAACTCACGCAGCGTCAGAAAATAAAACCCTCTCTCTTTTCCTCCCTACCCTACCTACTGGAGAGCATGTGTGTGAAGAAGCAGGAAATAAAAAGGAACTCACCTTGTGGTATAACCGGCAAGAGAGAAAGCCTTTGAGCTCCATACTGTTTCAGAAATAATCCCCGCATGAGATCAGCACTTTTGAAACAGGAAGTGAAATAGAGGGATATGAGGCATGGCTAGAATGGGTGATCTGTTTGGTATTGTGAGACTGACCGTTGAGCGGCCCGACCAAGCAAGGATGCAGAGGCAGAGAGTTCAAATATAACCCGGTGTGGGCATGTATTACTCCTTGTGGTACATGACACAGCCTCAATCTTACTGTCTCATGTGAAGACAGTCACCAGCAACAAGGATCTCTCCCACACTACCTGTCCACTGACAGGGAAAACAGAGCCTAAATACACACACACTAATCAGGCCAATAAGACACAGATGGGGGGGGGAGGAGACAACACAGGGCACCAGGTGACCACAATCATCAGACACAGACAAAACGGGAGGGGGGACACTTTCAAACTAAACCACATGTGCAATATTACAAGGCCCGAAGCCGTCAGTCAACAGTGACGAAGTTACCTTCGTCACTGGTATTTTGAGCAAAACACTTCATAGACATGTTTTTTATATACTTGTATATATCTGAGACCTATGCTATTGCCTAAAAATAGCATGATAGGTGACCTTTAAATAACGTCCATCAGATCAATGGTGGATGACATGACTGGAAGATATCTAGTAAAAGGCAGGCATCAGCCCAGTCTATTGTCAAACTAAAAATAGTTTTTCTCTTAAAACTGTGTTTAAAACTTGGTTAAACATAAATCAGTCACTTAAAGATGCCCTGAAGAGTCTTCTTGTAGATTACCAACATGTATGTTTACATTCAGATTTACTTTCCAAATGTTGAAGTTGAACGCATTTCCTTTCAAGTATTTAACATTTTTAAAAAACAGAGTTCACTAGCATGCCTTTTCTTTCTCCCTGCCTCGATCGGTACATTAAACCATTTCTTAAAAAAACATCTTAAAAGTCTCCATAGCTAAGTTTCAAACCATTACAGTAATTATACAACTTATTTTTAACTGTGCTGTTCGAATGCCAGATATAAAAGCAGCGTTCCCCAACGATGTTTATCTTGTTGATTACACCAAGCTGGTAAAGCATTACAAAGTCCCACGGGAGTTTAAAGCGTATCCGTCTAGATGCTCTGCTGTGATAACTCTTGGAAAACAAAGCAGGAAGTTAGTCGAGAAGGCCTTGGAAAAATTAACGATGCTGTGGGTAAAATATACAATTTATGTCTGTGGAGTGTGTTCAGATCCATTCAAGATGAGTCCGTTTATAATCCAGAGCAGCTGTGTGTGAAAGAGCCGTTTAATATTATTGGAGGTTGTATTCTACAGTCTGCCTGAATGTAATCACTGCGTAGGTGTGTAGTGTGATTCTGTGTTTATTTATGGCATCCCGTTGGATTTGACGTCATCTGAACAGGACATCGCACGCTCACTGCTTGATAGCGCGAAGGTCCGTTTACGCCGGTTGTTAAGCAACATCGTTATGGGGAAATGCAAGTCTGCGTCCAAATGGTTGGAAGATAAGGAGGAAGGACAATCAATACTGTATATAGTGAATGTGAGGTAAAGTGTGTTGCCAAGGTAACCGGTTAAAACTCAAAGTGGCGATGAGGTCTTAAGATGTTTGGAAAGGGTCTTAAAAAAGGTCTTAAAAGGTTTTACATCTGACTTCAGGATTCCTGCTTATACCCTGATCTCACATAGCTCCAATATATCCAATGATTGTAGTTGTGTTGTTACCTGTTTTATGAAGAAAATGAACTATATTGAAGATGCAGTCTGAAAAAATATAATATATAAATATATTACCTTTCAACACAAGGCAGTTCAAAGTGCTTTACAAAAATGAAAGAGATTAAGAAAATGGCATTTCAAAACCGTTATTAAAAAACAAAGATAATAAAATAAACATGAATAAAAGTTACAGTGCAGTGTAAGATATGAATAGTTACATTTAAAAGTAGCGGCAAAAAGAAAAGTCTTCAGCCTGGATTTATAAGTAGTAAGAGTTGCAGCGGACCTTAGTAACTTAACGAGTTCACCAACGCTGAGTTCTTTTAAGTCGAGGTTAAAAACACGACTTTTTACAGCTGCTTACCCAGAAGCCTTTTAACTTGTTTAAGCACCTACTATATTTATAATGTAAACTATTCTGTATCTCTTTTATTCATGTTATTTAGGAATCTGTAATTCCATTATGTTTATTTATTGTGTTATCTGATTATCTTAGTATTAAAGGTGGGGTATGTAATTCACTTCAGAAACATTTGTTCTTATATTCCATGGAATGCTCTTAACATCCCGAAAGCAATGAATACATTAAATGCTTTGACAATAAATACATGTGGAAGCCGTGGCGCTGTAAAAAGCACGACCAATCATCTGAGCCGGCCCGGCTAAAGTAACTGGATGGCCTACCTGCCTGTCAGCCTTCCATCTGTGCACACACTTATCTTGTGCGCGTTCGTGTGTGTTGGAGGAGGGGCTCTGTAAGGAAGTCTGAAGGAAGTGGCAGATTTGTTCCGGCTTTGTATTTTCAAATTCTAGCGCACTCGAGCTGGTTTCTCCAAAATGACATACCCCACCTTTAAGTGTTAATTATGATGTAAGCACTTTGAATTGCCCCTGCGTCTGAAAATGTGCTATATAAATAAACGTACCTTACCTTACCTGCATGTTTCTGGTAGTTTGTTCCAGATATTTGGAGCATAATAACTGAACGCTGCTTCGCCATGTTTAGTTCTGACTCTGTGGACAGACAGCAGACCAGTCCAAACCCTAACCCTAGACGACCTGAGATTAAGGTTTAACCATCCCATGTTCTTTCCCTGTCTCTTTCAGGTCCCATCCACCTCAGCTCTCCTGCAGCGTCTCTCCCGCCCACCGTCCACTCTCCCCCCTCTCCTCTCTCTAGCCTCCCCCTCCGCCCCGCCTCCCTTCTCCTGCTCCCCCCTCGTCGACCTCCAAGATAGATTCCCTCAGGAGTAAGGTTGACCTGCTCAAGCTTCCCCTGGCTCTCTCCACCAAGTCCATCTCTGAGCGTAAGGCCCAGCTGGGAGGAGTCGGAGAGTACCGCGTCCCGGGGGGAGGAGGAGGAGTCGGGGCTCGCAAAGTCTGCTCAGCGCCGACCAGAGACATGGACAACGAGTCGCAGTACTCGGGATACTCGTACAAGTCCTCGCACTCCAGGACCTCCCGCAAGCACAGGTGGGTTAACACAGGTCACACAGGAGAGTCACCACATCACGACATCTTTCTCTCCTTGTTCTTTTTATTAACAGCCACTTTAAGTTCTTTCAGTATATACATGTTTGCTGCCATTTAGGGGACTTTAATATATAACATTTGCAAGGGTTTCAGTGTGCATAGGCTTCAAGTGTTCCAAGTGTTGGCACCATAACATCCTGAAGCCACACACATAATACAACTTTCTGAAGCAGTGAAGAAACTATAATCTTTTTTTAACCTATTATTTATTTTATGAATATTTTTTTGATTGGAGCACTTCAACAAATCTTTTGTCTTATAATACATTATAACACTTTTCCAAAAATGTTTACTCTGATTTTTTATCTTTTCAGATAAACCTTGTTAAGGTTAAAGGGGTTAGTTCATAGTTTGCGATATTTCTGCTATTTCTTAAGCGAAATCAACAACTTAAAAATATATTGGGAATGTTGAAAAATGCCTCAAAACAGAAAGAAGGCTGTTTTTCTTAACTCGTTGGAAAACGTATAATCTGAAACAAAAATCCGGCTACAATTTTAAGGAATAGGACCCAATTACTTTTGGGAATCCTAAGAAATACAACGTCGAGCCTCGTGCTGGATGTGGACATGGAACATCAAAGAGAAAGCAGTAAGCCCTGAGTAACTGAGTGCTGTGTGTTTGTCCTCCAGGGATCGGAGGGATCGACACCGCTCAAAGAGTCGAGACGGCAGCAGTCGTGGAGACAAGTCGGTCACCATCCAGACTCCTGGAGAGCCGCTGCTGGACGCAGAATCCACCCGCGGAGATGAGAGGGTCAGAAGCTTTTAAACATGATTATCCATTTGATAGCAACCCTTAATCATTGCCTGTCTTTGTCAGTCATTAGGGGAAGAGCAGGTGTTGTCTGGTGTTAATCTTAACATATTCAAGACGTATTATGTTAAGTTAAAAAAGCACGTGTTCATTAAAGGGACTGGGGATGTTTGTTTGTTTCTATATGAAGTGAGGTAAATAATAAAGAGGTATTTGTATTTAAGCTCCCTGGCTCAAGGACTGACCCTTAAAAGACTACAAACACTTTTTTTTAAATCATTTTTTAGGATTTATGACAGTTTTGGCACTTGTCTTATATTTTCCCTTGTTTTTTTTTTTTTAAATAAGGATTAAAATGTCCTAAATGAATCTTTTACATCTGCTCTTGTTTTCCTTGTTTCCTAAAAACACCTATCATATAAGGATATTTGGTGTTATGTGAATCGATTCTCACTAAATGTTTGATTAATTACTTAAACAAATCGTTTTTTAAATTTCTATTATCTGGTCAAAAAGACAAATAATATTTTGTTTAAAAAAATGCAGAAAAGCTAAGATGAGCCGTGTTTTTGCCCTTTTAATTAATTAAAGTAATTTGAACTGCATAATATAACACATTTCACATTTGGGGTTTTACAGAATGTGAAGCATACCATACCCTCTTCTTAAACTCTCACAGTGCTCACAAAAAAAAATCAACAAGGGAACAAATGGAAGAAACTTCAGGGAGAGCAACAGAAAACTCTCTTCTATTAATAATAATAATAGATTACATTTATTATAGCGCCTTTCAAAGGACCCAAGGCCGATTTACATGGTGTGAAAAACAAACAAACAAACAAAGAAGTTGGGCAAGTAATAAAGAAACAAATACTTAAATTGCAGTGGGAGTTTCCAAAATAAACAACGACAAACCTAAACCATAGACAATCCAAATGACAAAAATGATAAAAACCTTAGATGGATGAACCTTGTATTTTGACATCTTCCTCCGTGTCTGACAGGACGATAACTGGGGCGAGACCACCACGGTCGTCACGGGCACCTCGGAGCACAGCATCTCCAACGAGGACCTGACTCGCATCACCAAAGATCTGGAGGAGTCGACCCCGCTGGAGTGTAAGCGCTTCGTGGGCCCGGTCCTGGGGGGCGTCCTAAGCTTCTTCGCGCTCCTCACCCCACTCGCCTTCCTCATCCTGCCGCAGGTGTTGTGGCGCGAGGCCCTGGAGCCCTGCGGGACGCCCTGCGAGGGCCTCTACGTCTCCCTGGCCTTCAAGCTGCTGGTGCTGCTCATCTCCTCCTGGGCGCTGTTCCTCCGCCCGCCTCGGGCCACGCTCCCGCGCTTCTTCGTCTTCCGCTGCCTGCTCATGGTGCTGGTGTTCCTGTTCGTGGCGTCCTATTGGCTGTTCTACGGCGTGCGGGTGCTGGAGCCGAGGGAGAGGGACTACCGGGGGATCGTGGAGTACGCCGCCTCGCTGGTGGACGCTCTGCTCTTCATTCAGTACCTGGCTCTGGTGCTGCTGGAGGTCCGACACCTGCAGCCCGCCTTCTGCCTCAAAGTGGTGCGAAGTACTGATGGAGCGAGCAAGTTCTACAACGTGGGACACCTCAGGTCTGTGAGACAAAGTAGAAAACATCATAATGTCTGCAACAGTTGGTAAACCTTTTGTTTATCAACAAAGATGAGAATGAAAAGATTCAAGATTCAAGGCTCTTATTGTCATGTGTGCATAGCTACAGGGTAGATCAGTGTTTCTCAAACTTTTTCATACCAAGGACTCTTAACCAATAAAAAACACTCGCGGACCACCTAACTCCACAAATATAAAAAAACACATCGTTTTTCTAGAACAGATTGCAAATCGCCTGAAAATGGTACAAACAAGTGGCAACATGTGTGATGAAGGTGTTGCGCTGGGCTATATCATGCAATCGAAAGTGAAACTTACGCTCGCTCCATTGCGGAGATATTCCCGCGAGAGTGCGGAAAACTTAAATGTATTTATTTATTTCAAATGTGAAATTTTACCAATATACTCACGGACCACTAGGGGGCGCTCACGGACCACCAGTGGTCCGCGGACAACACTTTGAGAAGCACTGGTGTAGATGTATCAATGAAAATCTTAGGGTACAGGATCCTCCAACAGTGCAACACAATAAAACAGATACAATAGTGCAAGTACATAAAATATAATATAATAGAAATGTTGCAGAATAGTCTATATACAAGTAATTGGAATATTGATAAGTTGCATAGGTGAAATAGTAGCTTAGACAGAACCAAACATGTAACCACTGACCACCAATAATGCATAATTATGTACAAACATTTAATTTCATCTCACTGTACATTTATTTTACATTCTGTTCTTGTATCATAGTCTATTGACATGTATATAGACTTTTTGCGCTATTTTGTATTTTTATTTTCTTATTCTATTATGTATGTTGCATTGTTGGAGGAGTTCTGGTCATACGATTTTCCTTGCCATTTCTACACTGTAGCTTTTGTGCATATGACAATAACACTTTTGAATTTGAATTGAAAACACGCTTTCACAGCAAAATAGCCTCATGTTGGTTAACGCTGTTGAGTTTACACTTCTTCATTTCATTACAGAATCTTTAAAATTGTTATGCCATGAGTTTTTGTTTGATGTAGAGACAGGAGGCATTTGTGTGTAACACAATATTTTCTGCTCTGAGGTCCACTTATTAGCTTTTTTGAGTATTCACCTACAGAACACCTTATGGCCTCTTTGTGCAAATAGCTTAAATTAGCTGCTGGGGCTACATTGGATCTCTGCTTAGAAAAAAAACCTAATTTGAAAAGTGTTGTGCTTTTGGCTTGTTTAGTGTCCAGTTATTATCCTGTACTGACTTTGACACCGACGTTTCACGTGTGTGTGTTTTATGTGTTAAGTATCCAGCGGGCTGCAGTCTGGGTGTTGGACCGTTATTACAGCGACTTCTCCGTCTTTAACCCCGCGCTGCTCAACCTGCCCAGATCCATCCTGTCCAAGAAGATGACCGGCTTCAAGGTTTACTCTCTGGACGGTAAATACAGCCTCTCCTCTGACTCTGTTTACTCACACACAACTATGACTTTAGATGCCATGTCATTGTCATCCGATGGTTAGCAGCATGATAAGGAAGAAGTATTTGGACAACAACCAAAAACACTGAAAGTATAAACTTTGATAATATCCTTAGAGTATAAAAGTCATCACGATTCATCCAAATGGGTATGGAGCTATTTCAGGGTCATACGTTTTGATCATTCAAAAAAATACAATTTATTTGAAAGTTCAAGTTTTTATCCTGAACCGGGGAAGACTCTCTCTAGAACCAATGGTTTCTTGTGGTTTCCAGGAGATCTCCTCCTAAGTCCACTATTGAATTAAGCCGACGTTTTCACTTTTACAGGGGAGACACCCTGACTTATTTCCATAAGACTAAGACTATTCCACCCCCCCGTCCGGCCGTGCATCGTCGACCGCATATTACAACGATCCCGCGGTCTAGAGCCCTCCGCGACGCGACCATTAAGACCCTCCCTTTTTTTGCACACAACTCGGAAAACCCACGAGTAGATTAAAACGGACTACATTGTATAAGCTTACCATTATTTTGACGTTGTGCGCCAAGTGGGGCCAATGTGCAAAGTAAACGGGACCTGCTACCCGCGACCATTCACTACTGACGATCTACCCACGATGTGCTTCGCGTTGTTTACGCAGCATACTGGGTAGTATTTCACCGGTTTAGCCTTGTCCGGAGAAAGCTGTTCCAAAACATATAATTTACCTAGTCCTGTTTTCTCTCTCTTAGACAACAGGACCTCTTGAAAGTCCCTTAGAGAATGTGTCTTCCCCTGTGTCACAACTACATCTTTCCTAACCTAAAACGTATTATCTCAGGGGAATTTCCGAGAGAAAGAAGACAGATAACTACAATTTAAGAGAGAAAAGTCTGGTGTCGCGTAATAAACACTTATTCCTCATAAAGAGAGTGGACGGGAACGCAACCAGTTTGGGACCGCCAGGTGAGCCCGGAGGAGCATCATCTTGAGCACCACACCTCAACAGAGAGGAGGCCGTCGCCGACGATAGTCACCGGCCCTCGACTGGACTTTCGTCAAAAACACCTCGAAAGACGTTCCCTGTTGTGTACTCTCTCCCAATCTACTTCGTAGAGTCCCAATCGACCTCACCGTTTACCTCTTTTGTTTCAGTCCTGTCTTCTCCGACATGTGGTTAATGGAAATCGACGAAAATCCAAATTGGAAAAGTAAATTCAAGTAGACGAGTGAGTTCATGACGTGATGTCATTTGAAAACTTCATGAAACTATAAAAAGGATGAAGGAAGGGATATGAGCTTACTTACGACATGGAAATGGAATCATGGAAAAACTAATATATAATATAAAATAATAGAACATCTACTTCAATAGTTTTTCCATATATTATAGATATTACTACATCTTGGTGCGCGGGTAATAACCTCGAGATAAGTCCCAGTATCAAAACTAGTAGTTTTTATATGTTAAACTAACTTTCAGGTTCCAAAGTAGGATTGAACTTTGTATGTCACATAGTTTTGTTTTTTCATAAACTTTATAAAAGACCAACTTATAATAAATCTAGTCAAGTCGTGTAAAAAAATATTTTATTAAATAAGAAAAGTATAAAGTTGAAAATATCGTATAAACTATAAACTATGAAAAAAGTCAAAGTCTAAAATGCAAAAGTCTAAGTTTTTTATAAAAAAAGTCAAAGTTTATAAAGAAAAAAGTCCAAAGTAGAAAAAGCGGAAGTCTAGCAAAAGTGAAAGTAGAAAAAAACTAAAGTCTAGAAAAAAAAAAAGCGAAAGTCTGAAGCGAACTGGGACTATAACGAAGCCCCCCCCAGAAATCAAACCGTGGACTCCTGTCGGGAGGGAGACAGTACTACGGAAGGTACCTACAAGATACCAATCGCGTCTTTCTTTATGTTGATGTGGGAAAGCATATGGTGTTATGAGGGCACGTAACCACATTTTTTTTGACTATGGTCGTATTTTAAAGGCAATCGCTCGACAACTGTAGCATCACCGTTGTTGTTCCAATATTCTCGTTATTTGACACGATCTTAGACTTAGTGCATAGGCGTTAAGTTCCAACAGGGAGGGGTGAAGGTGCATCGAGGTTTTGCGCTCGTATCATAACGACAAAAATGCACGTCTTAGTCTTATGGGAAATAATCAGGTGTCCCAATGTAAATGTAACAATGTGCCTGTCGTAACGTATGTTTTTCAAATTCTAATTTTTCTTAATATTATAAATTTAATGTGTTAAATGTATTATGTGTGGGACACTTCAGACGTCCTAAATCGTCGGTCGATATATAACGTGTACAAAAATGCCTATGATATATAACGTGGTATGACGTTTATAACGTGTATCAACCATAAATAGTTGTTCTCCACAATATCAGACATAACAAAACCGCCCAGATGAGCCCCGACAACGACCAACATATAGACTGGCGACGTCAATTCCCTTCCTGGACGTCACTAGAGAGGCACTCTGTCGCCCCTACCCAGTCCAGGTGTGCTTGTTGACCGAGCAGCAACGCCTATGCATTAAGTGTAAGTATGTGTCAAATAACATGAACTAACAACGGTTGATGCTACGAGTTGTCGAGCGGATTGCTTGAACGCGAGGCCGAGTCAAAATTGTAAGGTACTGCCGTTGTACGTCTCCCTCCGGACAGTGAGTCCTATGGTTTCAAGAGAAACCATCCGGGCGGGGGGGATTGGGGTTACGTTATAGTCCCCGGTTTTCAAACTTTCGCTTTTTTTCTAGACTTTCGCTTTTTTTTCTAGACTTTCGCTTTTTTTTTAGACTTTCACTTTTGCTAGACTTCCACTTTTCGTTACACTGGACTTTTTGGTCTTAACTTTAGACTTGATAAAAAGGTCAAAGTTTAGGACAAAAAACAAACTTAGACTTGTGCTTTTTTAGACACGACTTTTGTTAATTCCTAAGTTTTATAGTTTTATACATATTTTCACTTTAGACCTTTTATTATATAATAAGGTTTTAACGACTTGACTTAGTTTAATATAAGTGGACTTTTTTAATAAAGTTACATGAAAAGTAAACAATAAACCTTATGGAGTAACAC